AATGTCTTTATATATATATATATATATATATATATATATATATATATATATATATATATATATATATATATATATATATATCTTAGAACGTAGTAGTTAACTTGGAATACCAAGTATGGTTTTGAACTCTGATACTTTAATAACAACTACAAAAATTCCAAAAAGAAATGGTTTTACGATGGAGATATTTCGATTGTGGTTTATTAACTTCAGTGTTTCCGTAACTGGGTACTGTATAGTATGATATTTCAGTAAGATATATTGTATTTTAGACAGATATCTCGTCATTTAACTAACAACTCTAAGAGAATAATCCCAAATCATCTTTGTTTAATACATAAATAATAGGATACCGACTACTTATTATTTAACTTTTAGTTGTGGGGTTACCCTATTCCAAATATTCCAATGATTGGTGAACTTTTCTATTACTATATAAATAACAACTTAAAATTTAGTCAGTCATAGTAAAATATGAATTCAAATACAGTAAATTTTTTGAGTACTCCATTGAAATCATTATCAGAAATGGAAGATATACCATGACTCAGTAGTTAGCACAGTTTATATTTGTGGATAACATAAACTGAGTTAATTGTCAGACTAACTAGAATGTATGAAAAGTACGAGAGATCAATGGTGAAAAATATAATTTTATAAACACGAAATATTAGACCCCTATTTTGTTATTAATTTTAAGATAGAATCTAATCTACTAAAAGATGTATGTTCATATATTTTCTTCTGCGTCTTTTAAACAGAGAAACTAATGATCAATAAATGAGAACTTTCGTCTAAATTTGATCGAATAGTTTCGCAGTGTTTGGGCGCTGAGTTAATTTGCGACATTAAACAGGAAGAATGTATTTGTAAAATATCAGCGAATGGATTTGAAGTAAATCCACCGTTTCGCCTGGCAATCTAGTCCAAGCTTTTTCAAGGAAATATAATCAAACATCAAAATTATCGAATACAAATAGGTACATGGTTCTCCGGTTTACTGTATACTGAATAAGTCATCCAATCAACGTTAAGAATGTTTAATGTAAGTATTTACATTAGTGTGTACGAGACATGTGGTGTGAAAACGAAATGTGTTATGATAACAGATTGTGTGTATACGTAAGTGAGAAGAAATTTCACTCACTGTGTATTGTCTTCGGTCGGTGAACATTAAGAAAACATATAATTTTTTATATACGATATGAATCAAAAATGTCACAGCATGGATTAAATGAAGATAAATAAACACGATAAAAGAATGAATTCAAAGAGGAAGAATTTTTAATTGAAAGTTTGTGTTGTTTTAATGTTCCAGTCTATTGTTTAACATATTTAGATAAGATAACTGATTTGAATCGTTGAAAGTAACATCTGTTAATTAGTTTAATACGATATAGATAGAGTGGAATAAGGAGTTCAGGTTTACTTATTAATTATTAGTTGCCATGGGACAGCTAGTTGCATTCGATCTCTCCTATTAATACTGTTTGGATTAGCCCTTATATGTAGGGCCTCGGCCTTTTTGAAGGATTCTTGTGCCATTGAAATCAATTGTATGACCTGATTCTATCGAGTATTATGCTATCTCTGATTTGTTCTTGAGTTTTCTTACCTCAACTGAAGATATAGGAATGTGCTTTAATCATAGTTTGTGTCCCTTCACCCTCACATTCAGTTGCCTTGATGTTTCACCTACATACGTTGCATTACAGTCACTACATTTGGTTTCATAAACACAATTCTGTTGTTCTTCCTTGTGTATCGGATCTTTGATTCTTACTAGTTTTGATTTTAGAGTATTGTTTGTTCGAAAGAATACTCTTATCTTTTGATTGTTAATGGCTTAAGTATTCATCAAACGAATATAGGGAAATTATCATTGAGAAACGATGGCTCAGCATGATAAGATAAAGTGTTGAAATTGAGATTAAATGTAACCAGGAGGATCGTAGAACCAGAAATAAACCAGTTGGGGGTAGAGGGTTAAAGGACATGGAAGGGCAAGCAGGTGGCTATAAAGGAAGAAGAGTATGAAAAAAAGTTATAAGACATTAAGTCCATGATAGAAGCAGAGGTTGTTCTAATCTCTTTTGGAAAAACAATTCTGGTTTTTCCAGATGTGCGGCTATTGCTTCGGCAATGCTAAGAAGATGCAACGTAATTGTCTTTGGAAGAATTCTTCTTACATTGTAGATGACTTTGAACGCAGAGTCTGTCTTGATTGAGTGACCTGTGTTCACAAGGTGTTTGATTATTGAACTTCTTATTGAGCCTTTTCCTCCTCTTCTTAGCCACGCCGGATAATGTTCTTGAATTCTTTTGGATAAAGTACGCGTCAAACGACCTATATACTTGGCTCCACATGAGCAGGCAAATTGGTAAATGCACATTGAGCTGGTCAGATGAGATAATTTATCCTTAGGATTATTGGTGAACAATGATCGGCTGAAGAATACTATTCACAACTTGGTTGCGAAGAACGTTCTTTTTAAAGAATCAGAAACATTTTATCTCATCATGCTGAACCATCCTTTCCCAATAATAATTTCCCTATCTGTCTTTTGAGGACAATTTAAGCCGTTAACAATCAAACAATAATTAGTTTCCCTGCTTAAAAATGTTTTTTTTTAATACCTTTGATTATTCTACCTCACTGTCACCATGTCTAACAGAAGTTTGTTATCGTTATTATTTTGGTTATTATCATCCTGAAAAAAAATAAGTATATATATTTGCGATTGCATAGCTTTGAAAATGAAGTCGCAGAAAAGAGAACTCTTCATTGAACCAATTTTTCTATTTTAACCTTTAAGCGAATTCTATGATCATTTATAAAGTGCTCAAAGAAAATTTTCTTCCACGGAATGTCTTTGTGTTTTAGTATGGGTTATGAATTTAATGTTTAATTCGTTAAACACAAATGAGAATCACTTGCATTACTGGAATTCTTTAAAAAGTTGCTAAAGTCCAATTTTCTACTATATTTGAAAAGAGAGTTGAGTTGTCACAACCGTTCATCAATAAAAAGGGATTTAATTCTTTTCTTTGTTATCGCTAATATCATTATTTTTAGAATAGAAGAACCAAATGATCTTACTTTATCGACTGTTATTTCAATAATGAAGCTGAAAGTTCAAAATGGAATAAATTATCTCATTGCAATTTACCCACATTTACCCATATACACTTTAAACATGTATCATGTAGAGCCACTTGACAGGAATGACATCAGTATGCTTGAACTTGCTTATCTTCCGAGGACTTAATACGATCAGAATAATCAGTTTGATTCTCGATTTTAGTTGTGTACAAGAATAACCTGATAAACACAATCAAATAATGTATCTTTTCATGACAGGATGACAGTAAACGTCACAGTTTTAGATTCTAGATGATGGCACCAAATATGAAAATAAACTCAAAGGTGATGGGATGATTGAATTTCAATGGCTCAAAGGACTCACAGATGTGCATAAATGAATATTTGGCAGTTTAATGAGACAAAAACAGTTTCTCGGTCATCTTAGAATATACGAAAATAATAGATAGGGAATTTGTAGAAAATATGCGTATCTGTGTAGCTACTGAGAACTCCCTATCTGTTTATTAAGCATTTGAAGCTGTGATTAGTGCGCTTTCTTGTGACAAAAGACGATCCATGTTTTTAATAGTAAGTTTGTGTTGGAACATCAGTGATTAGATTTTATTCGTTTCTCGTCGAAGAGAAACTGAGGTAGTGAAGTGAGTATAGTGTTCAGTGCATGGATATTACAGAAAAGTTTACAAATGATACTACTATCCGTCCTTTTTGATAGTAAGGCAAAACAATGGATGTCATTCATCTTTTACAGTCTCATAAAAACTCCGACTTCTAGGTTACTGGTGGTGGATGGTTCAAGTGAAAGGTTTAACTTAGTGTTATTAACAAACAGAATAATCTAATATGTATCTTATCGGATCACTTTACAACATGGTTTATTGCTGACATATTAGTTCCTATAAGCTAAGAAAGTAGAAAGTGAGTTCAGTCTCGCTTCGGTTGAATGCAGAGTTTTGGTATTTGTATTCGAATGGGTACTTCAATATTTAATTGTTAGGGTAGTCGGAAAAATATACCAATAATTATCGTGTTAAGTCTATGGTGGCCTTGGACCTTAGATGTACATTTCTTATTGGTCGATGTTTATTTCACTTGTTAAATATTTTGTAAATGTTGTTTCCTATTTTATGGTACGATGTGGTTTGTTTGTTTGGTATATAAATAGGGCATGTCTGAAATACAATGATTCATATCTCAGAGGTTGTGACTTGTGTTCTTGACTCAACTGACTGGGCTAGACAGGGAAGCGAGACCAATAGAGACTCCGTACGTGTTTACGTGTCACTGTAATCGATCGATAAGTACGCTGCTCTCTAATTTTCCAGTCAAGGACACAACAATTAGCACAGGGTAAAAATCGACCCAACTTAAAGTCATAACATTAATATTTGTTTCAACTAGTTATTTCCCATCGTAACAGCAGAATAAGATGAAGAATTATTAAAAGTTATCAAAAAACGGGGTTTTGTGGATATTATAGTAATTTAATAGTTGAATTCATAAGTCAATTAAAGCTAGACCAACATGGAAAACCTGGAAACACTGGACGGCCGTTTCGTCCTAGTGTGGGACTTCTTAGCAGTGAGTTATAATTATTTAAGCATTTTTCACAAACAACGTTTTAAATGTTACCAAGATGAAAATATGAGTGTTATGTTAAGCTTTGAATAAACCTAATAGTCTTGGAAAACCATCTCTTAATATCCTTTTCATATTTGGATAGTAATTTAGAAAGCAAGACAACTGTAGATCCTTCAGATATGAAATTTAATTTTGAGGAATATTTAATGAATTGAGTTATAGCTTCATCCAAAAAAAGTTTATATAAACTATGGTTTATCCTCAATAAAGCAGTTTATAAGAAATTGTTATATGGTGTCTGTCAGAAAAGACTTACCAAATACGTGTTGTATTCATAAAAATAATACTCCACATTATTCAATTTCCACATATTTAGAAAATGGATCAGATAACTGCTGGACTTATTATTTGTTAAAATATGAAATACAGTTGGATAAGTACGTAACATTCTATCTTTATAATGTGAGGAATCATCGCTGATTTTATCACAGAGATCGGATATACAACAATGTTTAAAGTCAAAATGAAATCGTTTCTGATAATAAAAAAGGGATTTCAGAAGACTATCCATGTATAAAAGACCCTGTTCACTATCAATTAAAATAGAAATGTGTATCTTGTCATCCTAAAAGTTAAGAGAAAAGGAAATATTCAATCCAATATATATATATATATATATATATATATATATATATATATATATATATATCAATGCTTTTATTTGTAATGTCATAACAGTGTTTCGTCAATGAAACACGGGTTAAAAAGCGTTCGAATGTTTAACACTTCTGAATGGCTAACTTTCATGTTGCAAAATTTAACTAACTATTGTTATGTTATTAAAATTGATGGTAATGCGTAACAAAAAATAAACAATCAGCTCAATAGCTAAAAATATCTATAAAAGTCTTTGGATGGTGATGAACAGGGATTCATGTTCATTAATACATGTTTACTCTTATGATGACTCTTTTTAACTCTTTATAAATTTGATGTAAGAATTTCATAGTAATAGCTCCTCATTTCTCGACAGGGTTGAGGATTATGAAAATATATGGACCATAGTGATGGTGATGTATGGGCCTTTTAGTAACTGAGTTCATACTAGGTTATAAACATTCTATGGTCACACATAATTACATACAAAAGACATAACCATTTAATTAAAACAAATCTTAAACAGGAAAATTTATGACAATAAATATACGTTTTAAAAAAATGGGGACTCAGCAGTTTAAGCAGGTATTCTTGTCTTTATTTCATCAGTATAAATGGTCATTTAAACAAATTTTGTAGTTTTTATTTTTATCAGCTTAAGTACAAGTGAATTCAGTAGTTGTCATCTCTTACCATGAAGTTACCTATAACCATTGAGGATATTGAATGATTTTCACTAACAGCATTACTAATAAAATAATAATAACTCGATGTTGTTAATAAGATCATTACTATAACATAAAATATGACTTGAGATAGAAAGAGCATTTTCTGAGACGACAAATCATTTTTTTGGGGGAAAAGATGTTTTATCATGAAAGTTGTCAAACAGTTTAAAAGCTAAATTTACTACTGATTTTATATAGAGATTTCTACCCTATTATCAATCATTGTATGAATTACAATAGCCTATAATATTTAGGTAACTTACGCCATACTTCTGATTCGTTAATTCTATTTCCACGAGAAACATTCTGACAAATTGTTTACCAACATCAAAGTATTGATAAGATGCATACTGCCGTTCCTGTATTTGGTAGACCTGATAACAGAACAGGTCAAGCTAATAATAATAATAATCTATGGTTATTGTGACGTATTTAAAATAAGTAGGCAGTTTAAAGCACTGAAGGTTCCCCAAATAATTGCTATTCTCAAACAAAAATCAGTGACCAACTGAATAGCCAAACAATTAAAATATAAAGCACACGAAAGTCTTTACAGTTCAGTCAAATAAATCATTGTTTCTTTTTCAGTAAGATGACGGCATATTATTTAAGTTCCGGGTTGTGGAGATGGATGAATTTATTCAAACTCATGAACCAATGTTAAATCACAATTGTAAACCTAGAAGTACTACACGGGCGTCTCATTCTAGTATGGGAGTTTTTTGTTATGCGGTTTAAAAAAGGGTGTTACTAAATGATGGACAACATTCCGCGAATATACTGAGTACTGTGTCTAAAATTTTATTCGAGAGAACATATTTGATCAATTGAGATACAACGAAACATCTTCAGAATACTATCTCAAACTGAATAAAAGTCAATAAATCTATTGTATCGGTTTGTTAACATTTTCGTGATTTACTGGAAGTAATCATAGTGAAAAAAGGTGACCGTTTTGCAAACCAAAATATTTTTCCGTTTCTATCATGTTATCAAGCTCAACTCCAATGTAACTCATAATCAGACAAATGCAGAAACATTGCTTTGGCCTTAAACATTAGATTGGCTAAAATTTGATACTAATCTGATATAACTCCATTAGTGTGTCGTCCTGTCCTTTGGTGACGACTTTTTTATTGATGCAATCTAGAAAGTATGGAATGTAACCATTACAAAAACTTCGGTCATATGTACTACAGTTTTAATATTTGTATTTGAATGTCTGGAGTCAGTATGTGGATAAGTAACTTTGATTTTGAATAAAACCTTTTGCAGTCATTTGACCGATTTTTGAGACATATTGATTGACATTGGTATCATTGAATTTAGCACACCAGACACCAAAAGAAAGGTTGTTGATTAACTGATCAAATACATTGTCATTCACTGCAGACATGTATCTGATGGAACTTGGAAAAAATCTGGTTTTGACATGTTCTCAATGAATGTAAAACTATTTAAGTTATGCTCATTGAAAATTAAACTGGTTGTCTATTTAATAAAATTTTGACCGATGGAACAAATTACTGCAGAATAAATGATAAAGATGGATATTGATGGGAAAATGAAGAGAATCTGCCTTGAACTGTTGTACAGAAGAATAGTTTAGTACTATATATCAAAACATTATTTTAAGTTTCACGTTTAGTATAACGAAGATTTTGGCAATTCAAGAATCATGAAACTCTTGTTAAATAAAAATAAAATCACTTGAAAATGTTTTTTTGTCTATCCACTTCATGAGAAAGCAGGCATGAAGTGAAAATGCATTAACCATACATGGTTGTTAACAGAACAAATAATAGTGTTTATCATTACAATTGACAACTCTAAAGACGCTAAAAGCTACAGAGAATGTATTTAGATTTCTGTCTTTAGTTGAAATGTCTCTTTAAGTTGTGGGTTAATATGGCTACACTGAATCTTCTTTATCGTAGATGTATGGGAAAGAATACTTTGGATTGATAATTTAGATATGGTTACCGTCTTTACGACATAACTTATCATATAAGAACGAGAACTAAATGGTTTCAAACAGAATGAAGATGGCTTGGCAAAGAAAATGTACTTTTCTTGGGAAGTCTTCAACCTATTGTGTTTATTTTGTTTAATGACATGGACGATATCCTTCGTTGACTACGGCTTCTTTTAATAAAATGTAGCCCTTCTCAGATCATTGTACAATTTTTTAACTACTGAACCCTCACGAATTAATGAGTTTGGGTAGAGACTGAACTTTTAGAACTGTGGATACAAAATTCAATAGCAACTGGTAACATGAATTTAAATTAGAATATATGTAATAAGAAGCAGATAGTTCAGAGGTAGAACTACTTTCTAAAACGAACTATCGCCGACAACTATTTTGGACTACACTGATTTTCAGTTTTACTGAAACTATTAAGAAATTAACAGGACTGCGAATAATTACAGTTTACGATGCTTTGTATATAAAACAAGGAATATAGTATATAACATATATAGCATATTAGAGATGATGCATTTGGAATTCCAGTTGTTTAGGTGAGACTATAATTTATGGATGACCTTAGAGTAACGCTAAAATGATCTTGAAAATGTCCACTTACTAAGTAGGACTAAATGAGGGTTATAAAACAGTGTGAAGAATTATAGTTATGATTTACAGTTGAGGATTAGGGTTACGGACTAGATTTAGTGTTTTCAACACGAACTGATATTAGCTATGATGTCAAAATAGTATTTAGTTAAATTTCGCTCTAAAATTCAAGACCCGTCATCTCAAATCTGATTGGTTCGCCCATAAATTGTAGTCTCGCCTTTTTCAATAAATTTAACCTATTAATCTTAATATAAGCTTTTTAGTTATAGAAATTTGTCATCCCGTCTTGTAATAAATATCATTCTAGAAACAAAGTAGAACAAGTTCCAAACAAAGAGTAAATAACGTTTTTCAAATTATTAGAGTTCTGCTATTTCATTATCATCCTGCTTTGCTTATAACCACATATAAGGAAGTCAATCAAATTCAAGAGAACTAGTTAAATAGTAATTTCACGACTAAAACATTTTCAAAACCACAAATCATTTAGCACTGTTTGCAAAATTACCCAGTTTTTTCACATTAAAGTCTAACGTAGTATCAGAGAATTTTATTGGAAACTCAATGAAATGAAGTATTTTGTGAATAATTTATTTGACCTACCCCGTATGGCTGATATTTATCCACCGGTTGTTGAAATTCCTGTCCCCTATTGATGAAAATTTGGGGGCATGATTATAACCATTTAAAAATAAGTGATTGGTCAACATGTATTTTAAATTTGTGCTCATGTGTTTAGGAGCAAACTTATGGTTTTAAATTGTGCACTAATGTAACCTGATTAGTTCAAACCAAAGTAGCATAAACTGGTTTGACTAGATGTCAGAATTTGCATTTTTACATTAGAATTTTTTTTTAACGAAACAATCCAGACAGTTCTGTCAAAGTGTAACATAAAATTGTTGCTTAAGGGGAAAAACTACCAAATCAATTCCATTTAAGCGCCACATGATGATTAATGCTGGCTGATAATAGATATCGAGATAAAAGAAAATAAGTGAAATGAATTTTCTTAACGACCACATGGAAATGAAACGTAATTTGTCCAGTTACGTAGATTGAAGCCGTCAATTATCGTGATAAGAGATAATAAAGGTATCTTACTCATGCCAAATTTAATGAGTCAAACAATAGTGAATAAATGACAGTTTACACTATTGAAAATGAATAATAAATTGCGAGAAAGAAGAAAAGAACATTTATGTATAAGTAAGATTTGTAGTAAGTGTTTAATAAAGTAGAACTTCTTTGTCAGTTGGAAAAGATGTCGTTGTTTTCTCGAGTATTACAGTTTTTGGTCAAACGAAAAGTTGTTGCGTGATTTTGCGAATTCATCAATATTAGGACTGTTCATTATCCATCACGAGGCCAGCCCTGACTTGGAATCCTAAAGGGAAGCGGAAAAGGGGAAGGCCAAAGAACACATTACGTCGGGAAATAGAAGCAGAGATGAAAAGGATGAATGAAAACAGGAAGGAGCTAGAAAGAATTGCCCAGGACAGGGTTGGATGGAGAACGCTGGTGAGTGGCCTTTGCTCTGTCACGAGGAGTAACAGGAGTAAGTAAGTTATTATCCATCCTATGCCGTTGATTAATATATAATTATGATAATAAAAGTTATGTGTGTATTTAATCGTGTTAATTAGTTACTGTGTTTGGCAACAGTATTGTGCAAGTTGTAAGCTAGATGATAAGGTGTTCCCTCATACAAGCATGTGTATTTTACCCAACGTAATGTTAATAGCAGTTGTGCTGCACGTACTCAAGAAGGCGAGATCATGATCTTAATTTTTCAATGTTATTTCATAATGACAACTCAAATGTTTATAATATTTTAAAGATTAAACATAACAGTTCACTAATTCATTACTGTCTACTTTAGGATATACAGTTTTTCCTAAAGTCTTTGAATAAACTTATAGTTCACATGTGGTATACTTCAGCGTTTTTTATTAATCCATTTAGAAATCGTTTTTAAAATCATTTCAGTCATCTGTTAAACATTTTCAATGGATACTTAGAAATTCTCCGTACTTATTTCTAATATGTAAATATTTTAATGTCAAATCCTGAAAAGCTCTACGTTTCAATAATAACCAATTTCGACAATTTATTGAAATGTAGATAGTATTAAGTGTGAATTAACAGAAATACGATGATAAACCTCCATTTTCCAGTGTTCTAAGTTATCTGGTTATGGAAAACTGTTAGTTACTCCACTTTGCGAAACGCACTAAATTTTTAACTTTTTACTTAAATTTTTAATAAAGTATACATTTTTGTCGGTATATCTTCTCAGTAAAGGCGTACCATAATCTGCAGAAAAATATAAAAATAGATAATCTTTTCTTCAAACGTTTTCTCTTCTGTCGTCTAAATATGGAAATAGTCTACAAAGTGGTTACTAACTGTTAATGAGCAAGGAATTGTACCGGTTCACTAACTTACTTCACTTAGTTACTTGTAATTAAGTCTCTGTC